CCCCCCCTCTTTCTCTCTCTCTCTGTCCCCCCGCCAATCATCTTCCCACTCCATCCACCGGGTATGGGAGAGGATGGGAAGGAGTAGGGCGACACGGATGGAATGAGAGTTGAGAGTGGTGCTGCTGCTGCTTCTCTATCTTCTTCCGCTTCGCGCGCCAAAACGGGCTTCGCGGAAACGGTCGCGCAGCGACGACGACGACGACGCCACACCGGCGGCGGTTGGGGCTTTTATTTACGCTCAGCACGTTGTTATTTGCTCATCCTCACTACGGCGGCTGCTGCTACTGCGTCAGACTGGCTGTTGATGTTGTTGTGGTGGCGTGGCGCGGCGTGGCGCGTGGAGTCTAGCGAATGTCAAGGATGCCGGGCGGCCGTTGCGCAATGACAATGACAGGCCGTGCCGCATTCCGTTTGGGATGCGAGAGAGGGACGGGAGAGGAGAGGAGGCACGGCCGATGTGTTTACCCGCGGCAGAGGAAGTCGATACTTGCGTCCCGGGGCGGGGCGGGGTAGGGCCGCGGGACTGCGGCTGGGACTGGGGCTGTACTGGACGCGCGGCGCAGGCCAGCCCCTCTGCTCTGGCCCGGCGCCACTGCCGGGGGTGGCGCCTCATCCCTTTGCGAACCCCGCCGCAAGCCCCCCCGTCACGGCGCCGCCCGCGGCGCCACCCGGGCTGCGGCGGCCGCCGGCGGGCGCCACTACTGCAGTGCCGCGGCCGCGACGCCGGCGGGCAAGGTCACGTGACTCACGGGCTAGCGGAGCTGCGGCGGGGCGCTCCAGGAGATGGAGCCCATCGGCAGCGGCACGTCTCCTCGATTCAAAACAATCGAGAGCATCGGAAAATATTTGAGAATCGATTCAACCCCGAAGCCCGAGTTTCGTTTCAGGTCACCGTGGAGCGGCTTTTGTCGTCGCCGAGTCGAGTTTCAATCAAGATTGTAACCGGCCGCCATCTCCTGTCACACCCGGGCGCGTTTAGCCGGCTAAGCTGCTGCTGCGCTCGGAGAGGTGCTGTGGTGGCGGCCTCGTCCGGCTGCTCTACAGCGTCGCCACTACGCCACGCCACGCCCTGCCGCCGCCACCGCCGCTACTTCCGGAGGAACTTACGGCTTATTGGGGGCCGGCTCGGCCCGGCAAGTCGGAAGTGCGGGGCGGTGCCGGGCGCGCGGCGCGGGAGGAAGCCCCTTTTAAGGGTCTTCTTCTTCCGCTTTCCTAAGGAGGAGGGAGGGGGGAATGAATGAAGCCTTGTGGGGTGACTCACGGACGCGACGCGACACGCGTGCGGCGGCGGCGATGGCGACGCGTCGCGAGCTCGTCACACGCGCCCCGTCACGCGCCCGTCACGCGTGCGTCCGGCGCGCCCGGCGGCCTCCTTCCGGCCGCAGCGGCACCGCCGCCAGGACGTGGCCGCGGCCCCCCGCTGCTGCTGCTGCTGGCCGCTATGGACCCGGCTCGCCGCGAACAATGAGCAATATCCGGCTGCTGGATCTGCTTGCCTGGGGATGACTTGCGCAGCGGAGGGAGGACCACAAGACCCAGGTCAGGAAGCTCACCGCCGCCGCCAGGCCGGAGCTCGGCTGTGGCGCGGCGGGGCGCGGCGCGCTCCACTGCGGGGCCGGGGCCGGAAGCCGGAAGGAAGGAGGGGGAGGGGGTAAATACTGGTGTTGTCTGGCTGGGGCCGGGCGGGGCGGGCGCACCCAGGCCAATGGGGAAGGGTGCCGGCCGTGCCGCGCCCGCATCTTCTCGTCCGTGCCTCCGTGCCCAGGGCGGTGTAGTGGTGATGTGGCTGTGCGCGCTGCTCTGCTCGCTCAAGTCCCTGTTACCTGCGTGATCAGGCGAGGCGTGCACGACGACGGCTGTGCTGGCAGGCCCCAGGGGGGTTACCTGTGCGCGCTCCTCTCCGAGCTCCTTCCCGGAGGAGACGGGCCGTGCCCGTGGACGTGCCCGCCCCCGCCGGCCCTACGTGCTCAATGAATAGGGCGGGGGTCCATACGAAGGGCCTCCGTCCACTTGAGGTCACTGAAAGGGACCCTTGATTGGGGTCCCCCCTCGGCCATGTGCGTCTCCGAACGTGACTCCGTGAAAGGACGAAAAACAAACGGCCTTGATGTGTCGGTGGCGGGGGGGACACACATATGCCTGACCTCGCAAGGGTTCGCCCGGCCTGGTCCCGGTCGACTCCACCACCCCACGCCCCCAGGCCGTGTTCCTCCAACCCCAGCTGGATCGGATTAGTGAGTTCCTCGAAACCTCCGACTGGACTGATTGCACGTTGCAAGTCAGTGGCCTCTTCTTTTCCTCTGCAATGGTCTCTCTCTCCTCCTTCCGCTTACACGCATTGTGATTTATTTTCCTCGTGAAAATTAGCCACAACGACATCTCGCGCGCGCTTTTACCTGGCGCGAGATGGCAAATAACCTTACGAGCAGTAATATGACAGATAACATTATTTTTGTTTTTTGTCATACCCGTCCGCAATCGGGGGGTACTTGAACTGATAGAGGAGTGGCCACTCCCGTCCCATCCATTCATGCCCGAGTCTCTCTGGTCGTCTTGTTCGTTTTGGACGGGCCGATAAGGCGGACACGGGCGGCGCTGCCGACGGCGAGCGAGAGAGAGAGAGGAGTCGCCCGGACCGCTCACCACCACGTGTGAAAGGAACATCAGCCTTGTGTGCGCGGCAGGGCGGGGCGGGGGCCGGCTGTTTATTTTTGGCCGAGATGTGATGTGATGGCGGGCGGGGCGCGGCCGAGGCGGCGGGGCGGGCGGGCGGCCTGCGCCTCTGACCGACGAGGTCACGGCGGTGGACACTGCCCCGAGCGCTGCGCGCGGGGGCCGCCGCCGGGGCCCTTTGGCGTTGGTCAAGGTTAGGGCGCGCCCCCGCCTCAGGCGCCGCGCAGCGCCACGCTGCCTCCTCCTCACGCCTTCCTTTGCTCCGCACCCCTCGTTACGTCCGGTCTCCCTCCAGCCCCCTCCCTCCTCCTCCTCCTCCTGCTCCTCCGGGCCCGGCCGGAAGTGAGCCCCTCTGAGGGGTGGGGTAGGGTGCTGCCATGCCGGCCGGGCCGTGTTCACGACCCCCAGTCACGTGACTCAGCTAGGCCCCTGCCAAGGGCCCTGCCGCCGTCTGGGTGAATCACATGCAGCAGGTGGTCGTCGTGCGCGAGGCGCGGGGCGCGCAGGCCCTGCAGCAGCGCGTGCAGTGCGTGTCGCCCCGACAGCTGCCCACCGCCACGACGGCCGTGAGCGCCAGTGAGACAGCTGCCCCTGCTGCTGACTGTCCGGCCGGCAGCGCCGCCCCCTGCCCTGCCCCGCGAGTGTCTCCAGCTGGAGGAGAACCGGAAACTGTAATAAAGATGGAATCCCAGGCGAGGCGGGCCCGAGTGAGCGAGTGCACTTATTGGCGTAACGACCAATTTGGCCCGCCACGCAGCGCCGTGCCGCGCCACAGAAAGTCCTGTGCCCGGCCCGCTTAGCCGCGGCCATGACTCACAAAGGGGAGCAGCGGGGACGACACGCGCCGATATCTGGCATAATCTGCGAGATGACACAGAGCCAGTGTCTTCTCCGCCTTGTTGCGTCAGGTGCTGCAGTCGCACGCAATTATAGTAGAAGAGCAGAGGAAGTGATGTGTTGTGCTAACGTCACTGTGCGCTTACGTGTTTTTGTATTTTGCAGATGAGACGGACTCGTCCAAGTCGCTGGCGAGTCTTGGGGCCGGCGTCCTGGGCTCGCAGTCGGGCGACACCATGTGGCTGCTAGACCTGCCGCAGACGGCCCGCGCTCTCACCCAGCAAGGTAGGTGTGGTACTAGTACAGTGTGACGGGTACAGTCAGTCAGGTGACGGCCCTGTGACGGGACGGGCCTGAAGTGCCTGGGAGGGGCGCTGCTGGCTGCTGGTTTGGTTGCTGCCGGTTCATTGGCGGGCTATCTATCTTATCTGCGCTGCTCCCTTGCGCCCTGCTGCGCTGCGCGGATAGTCGCGCGACCCTCCCTGGTCCTGCAGTCGCGAGGTGTTCGCCGAGCAGGCGCCATGTCCGGCCCGACACGCCCCCCGTCCCCCACGGCGATCACGCCTGCCGCCCCAGAGCCGCCCCCAGGCACCAGCGCCGCCGCGGAGCCCGGGCCAGCCCTCGCCCTCCCCGTCCGTCGCCGGCAGCGAGCGTGGACCCCCAGCTGGGACCTGGGGGCAGGGCGCGCGTGGCGGTGGCTGTACAGGGCCACGGTGCACGACTGCTCGTCCCAAGGTGCGGCCAGGGACCGCGTGGCGCCGACCCGCACCGCGCCGCACGCCGCTAATCCGGATCCACTTCTGTTTCAGAATGCGCCAAGCTGCTCTGCTTCCGGTACTACAGCGGTCTCAACCTTAGCTGTCTGGCGCAGTCCGAGCCCCTGAGCCTCCCCCAGCAACAGCCGCAGCAGGTGTCCGAGCGGCAGGTGCCGCAGGTGCCGACGCCACAGGTGGTGCAGCCGCAGCTGCAGCGGGTGCGGAGCCGCGCCGCCAAGAGCTCGCACCGCGGCCACAGCACCGACAGCGACTCGGACGCGGCGGACGCATCCTCCAAGCAGCGCAAGCAGAAGAGCTGGCGGCTGCACAAAAAGAAGGCGGCCAAGTCTTCCAAGGACACGCGGAAGATCGTCAACGGCTTCGCCGAGCTCGACGTGAATCGTGACGAGTGAGTATGTCCAAGTGCCCAAGTGTGCCTGCTCGTTCGCTTCCGGGCGCACTCGCGAGTTCGACGACCCGGTCTGGTCGGCCCGCTTGCCTGTCCGCGGTGCAGCGCGCGCGCTTTCCTGCTGTCGCGTCAGTGAGAAAGCACCTGCGTTGGCGTGGAAGTGCGTGAGCCGCGTTTCACGATTTAGTGCAGCAGGCTGGCCGGCCAGGCCTGCTGGCCGGGTCCGGCGAACGACCGGGGGCTTGTCTTGCAAAAACACACACCCATTCATTGAGAAATATGCCGACGGCCTATCCAAATCCAAACATGCCCGACGCACTTCTGGGCGCACGTTTGCGAGGCTTTACTGCCAAGCAGTTGAACCGTCTTCAGGACTGGGCCGAGGGTTGCAGGGAAGGGGAGTAACATGCATACCGCGCCCCTGCAGTCTGGCTGACGCACTGTGTTCTGTTTTGCAGTGAGGGCAGAGCCAGGGCGAGGCTTACCGCCGCACAGGCCGCCCCGGAGCAGCGGATGGAGACCACGACCACGGGGACGACGACCGGGACCGGGGAGCAGAGCGTGGAGCTGCCGACCTGGAACTCCCACGAAACTGCCCAGCGCACCCTGGACCTGGGTCTGGACCCGCCCCCGGACGCTGCCAACCCCCTGGACGCCAACTACTACCCCATCTGGCCGAGCAGTAGGCGCGAGGCCGCGGGAGCGCCGGCCGGCGGCGACGTGAACAGGCGCCTGTACGAGACGCTGTACCCCACCCCCGACGAGGACCAGCCGCCGCCGCCCCTGCCCCCGCGCGCCCACCGCGCGCACCACCAGCACCGCCCGCTGGAGCGGACGCGCGCCGTGCGCCTCTCGGCCGCCGCGCCCGCGCCCCCAGTGCCCCCCGTGCCTTCCGCGCCGAGGCACAAGGTGCCCGCCGTGCCCCCAAGGCCGCGGAAGCCCGCCCCCGCCGACCCCGCGGCCCCGGCCTGCGTGTGCGAGGCGGCCCCCCTGGCCACCCCCGAGGGTGGCTCGTCCTTCGAGACCCTGTTGGACGACACCCCCCACGTGTGCCACGGAGTCATGGACACCCACGGCGAGGACGCCGACGACGCAGTCGTCCCCGCCTCATCGAGCACCGGCGCCGCCAGCTCCGTGGACGACAACAGCACCCCGCCCGTCTCGAGGAAGACCTCCGCCGACAACACTGCTACATCCTCATTCCTCACCATCCCGGCGGAATCCTCGACGCCGTCGTCGACACCCACCTCGGATTCGGGCGTCGTGCCTGCCACAGCCAGCTCCAGCACGACGGCCTCCTCCGTCGGGCCCTCCAGCACCGAGTCGCTTGGCCGCGGCACCTCTCCTGACACCGAGGCGCAGCACCAGCCGGGTTGCTCGCGGCGCCCGGCCCGCGGCCTCAGGGAGGTCCCCGACGCACCGTACGCCGTGCTGCGCCGCCAGGTGATGAGCCTGTCTGAGGAGGCGCCGCCCCCGCCCGCCCCCGCCGACGCGGTGCGGCCTCACAAGGTGCTGTCGCGGCAAGTGAGCCACCCGCCGGCCGCGCCCGCAGCACCCATCACGGCGCAGCCCGCGCCTGCCAACGGCGCCTGCGCTGAGCCCAAGTACCTGTCACCAAGACTTCATAGGTGAGTCACAGTTTAATTGAGCTTGATTCTGTTGTGTTTTATAGGATTGTTTGTGATATGCCCGTTTTCTCTGTTGCCCAGGCTGCTGAGCCGCGTGCACGGCCCCGCCGGTACGCTCAGCTCCGTGGGTGGCTTCCCCATGGGCAGCTCGACCCCGCTGCCGCAGTGCCCGCCAACCCCGACCCACCACGCCAAGAACAGGGCCGGCGGCGACGCCGAGGCCAGCGGCAGCGGTGTCAGCTCCGGCGGCAGGGGGTCCATGGTGACCTCCAGGAGCGCCATGGGGAACCTTCACGACCCTCGGCCCAGCCCTCCCAGCCCAACCAGCCCTCCCAGCCCGCACAGCAACCAGGGCAGCCCCACCCAGGACCCGCCGTCCAGAGAGGCCTCCGTCGTGAACGGCGACGCCGGCGACTCGGACAACGTGTTCGAGGAGGTGACGCTGCCGTGCTCGCCGCACCACGTGCACCACCACGTGCACCATCACCACCACCACCCGCCCGCGGCCGCCCCGCTCGCGCCGCCCCCGTTCGCGCCGCCCCCGGGCCCCGCCCCCCAGGGCGCCGCCCAGCCCAACGTGGCCCCGCTGCCGGTGCCCCTGCGACACGTCCCCGCGGCGCGCCTTCCCTCCATCCCCGAGCGGCGCGCGCAGGCGGCGCAGGCCCAGCGCGTGGACGCGAGCAGCACGCAGCCCGAGCCCCTGCCAGCCTGTAAGTACAAGGTCCATTCAATTTGCGAACATTCATGAAAAAGGAATATTCTAGCCTAAACCTGCGTCCTTCCCTCTTCCTTTCAGACTGGGAGGCTCGCATTGACAGTCACGGCCGCATCTTCTACATCGACCACGTGACCCGCACCACGACGTGGACCCGGCCGGCCGCCAACGCCAGCCGGTCGCCGCGGCCCGTCAGCAACGAGCTGCAGCGGCAGCAGCTGGACCGCCGGTACCAGAGCATTAGGCGGACCATCACGTCGAGGCAGCTGGACGAGGAGGAGGGCGCGGTCGGCGGCGCCGTCATGCTACCCGAGACCGTCCCCGTGCTGCCCGACTGCGTTCCCAGCAGCGGGAGCAGCAGCAGCAGCAGTCGCAGCAACAGCGGCGGCAGCGTCCCCATGGTGCAGCCCCTGGCGCCGCTCATGGCGCCGCCCGCGGTCCCAGCGCCGTCCATGGCCCCCGTCTCCACGCCCGCGACTGCCCCACCCCCGTCGGCCGCGCCGGGGCCCGCCCCGCCGCCGCCGCCCGCGCCGTGCTCCAGCAACGGCATCATGCTGCAGAACGGCGCACCCCTGGGTCCTCTGGGGCCGTGGGGGGCCACCTCGAGCGGTGCGGCGGGCGGCATGGCCCAGAGCGTGCACGGCATGCAGGCAGTGGATAGGGACACCCTCAACTTCACCCCGGGGGTGAAGTTCATCTGCAGGGCCGACTTCTTCACTCTGCTGCACATGAACCAGGTATGTACCGTAGCGTTGGACTCCTCTCCGCTGCTGCAAATGTTCGGTCTGCCTCCTCGCGATATGGCCTTTTTCTCAATGCTCCATTTGCCCCATACAGGAGGCGCTCGCCCTGTACAACAGGAACGGCTCACTGAAGCACATGATCTCGAAAATTCGTAGAGACCCAACCTGGTTCGAGCGTTACCAACACAACAGGGATCTGGTCCAACTAGTCAATTTATTTGCCGATACAACAAGAGACCTTCCCAGAGGATGGGAAACTAAATTTGATAGATATGGAAAGGTATGTTTTTAGAGCTTGTTACTATGAATAAGTTGTGTGGTATCATTTTATGTGACATTCACCCCCCTCTCATAGTATCTTATTTTTAACTGAAATTGATAAATGTGGTCTGTGGAGTCGTTTGCTTTACTATTTGTATTCTGTCCCCCCCTGTGGTTGCAACTAATTTGTTCTTCTGTACTTACTAACTTCTCCTGCTTCCTATGTCTGATGTTGCATCTTTCTATTTTTTCTCTCTCTTCATACTTCATTCATCAGCAATTCTTCATTGACCACAAAACAAAAACTACAACATTTATGGACCCTCGTGTTCCCACTGAACTTCATAAGTTTCTATTAATGGGAGCGAGAAGGAGAAGTCGATCAGCTGGTGAAGAAGAGCTGAATCGAGTGCGAGTGAGTTTAGTTGTGTAGTCTCATTCTGTAGATTGGATTAGATTCCGTATCAATCTGGTATCAGATCTATTTATTTTTCCGCTCACAGATTTTGTTTTAGATTTTCTGTAGAAGTACTGCTTTTACGCAGTAAATTTAATTGCTCAACTTTTATTTTATTCTTATAATCTTAATTTTGCAGTAGAACTTATTTCATTATTGTTCTATATTTGCACTTGATTTGGTAGCATTTAATCTTTTGTTTTCACATCATCATTCTATCTCCATATCGCCTTTCCACTTGCCTCCTTTATCACACATAGCAGCAACTTCCGATGTCTTCATGGTGCTTTAGATTTGCATGAATGCGTTCTGTTTTTTTATTACCTTTTTAAAAATATGGTTGTTTTCAGGTAGCCTTTGTTGTAGAAATCTGCCATACTGTCGTGTGTAAGAGAGTCCTTTATATCGTCTCCTTCTGTTGCAGGCACCAGTGCCGCCGCCCCGCCCCACCGCGGGACACGCCGCCGTGGCGCTCAACCGCCACGCCCAGCCGGCCGTCGTGGACATCCCCACGGCCTACAACGAGAAGGTGGTGGCCTTCCTGCGCCAGCCCAACATCATGGACATCCTGCGGGAGCGGCACTCGCTCGTCGGCTCCAGCCAGGCGCTGCGCGACAAGGTGAACGCCGTGCGGGTCGAGGGCACCCCGGCGCTGGACCGCATGAGCGACGACATCCACCTCACCATCCTGCTCAGGTGAGTGTCTGCTGGACTGTGCCGACGCCTTGCGGGTAGGCAGCCCATCGTACGCCCCGACCGGTCGCTGAGCGCCGTGTGGGTAGGCCACCCATCGGGCTCGGGCTGGGCGGGTGGAGAGGGGAAGGGAAAAGGGGGGAGGGGGTCCTGTGCTGTGCAGGCACCCTGCCACCACTTCTGAGTGATGCGTTCTCACCCTGAATTCGTAGGGGGCATTTTGATTTTCCTGTTGTTTCTATGAGCATCATATACCATGTTGGCACGGATAAACGCTTTCCTCTGCCGCGTTGGTTTTCACTCGAATGTGCGCACGCCATGTGTATAGAGGCAAGCAAATCGCGTGCTGATTGCCGAGCACATACAATCTGGCCCAGCTGCAGCCGCCCACCGGACAGTCTGGAGGGTCTCCCAACTGGCCCAGCGCGGGCGTGGCGTGGCGTGGCGTGGCGTGGCGTGGCGCTCCGAGGGCAACCACCCCGTGGACGCCGCACCGTTAGGCGGAGAGGAGATTGTGCGTGGCGCAAGGGAGGAAGGGCTTTTTGTTCCCGGCTCAATGGTTTTGTTTTGACGGTCACGCTGATTTAGGGGCGGCCTCTGCGTGACCCCTGCACCGGACTCCTGTCCCCGCTCTCTCCCTCGGACGCACTATCTCGACGCGCGCATTCTCTCTCTCTCACTCTCCCGCTGTCGTCGCCCCCGCGCAGAGCACCGACAGAAATACTTTGGCAGTTATTTCGACGCGTTTCCTACTCTACTTCCACGTGCCTCTCTCTATGCCCAGCCCATGGCGCACCGCGGGACTTCCCCGGGAAACACCCAATTAACTGTAACTTTGGAAAGTGTATGGGCATGCACCTGCAGTCAGGTGAGAGTCGTCGGTTGTTGGGCTCCTTTGCCTGACAAAGATGTTGTGCTCGTCGGGACACCGCCCCACGCTGCGCGGGCCTGCTGCGCGGGCCAACGCCCTGCAACGCCCCCTCCGTGCACAAAAGGGCCCCCGTCGGCGTGCTCGCGCGCACGAGGCCCCTCCCGACCCCCGGCCCGGTGTCTTTGGTGTGTGTTTCCACGCACAGTCAAGGTCCTCCTCTTCTCGGTCAGGACCAGGTGTCCCGCAGTGTCCTTGGCCGCGCAGGCTGCAGAGCGTGTCCGTCAGCTGTCCGGTCAGCGGAGCAGAGGACGAGCCGTGAGGGACAAGGCATCGTGCAGTTGTCGCGGACGCCGTCGCGGTCAGCCGTCGGCCACCCTGGTGACCACCCTGCCCTGCGGGGGGCGCTGCCGGGCGATGCTCCCCGTTCTCGCGGGGAGCGAGCGGAGGAGTGGGGATAATCCCCGCTGCAATCTGATACTGCTGCTGCGAGTGTGGCCTGGAGCGGGGGTGTTTCGTGTTTCGCACGACGTGTTTTTCCCCTCCTTATACTTTCTCCGATACATTATGGTGGCGATGAATGCCCCCCGGGAGTGGCACTTACCGAGCGACATTCCTTCCGGAACACGTCGCTGTCTCCAGGTGCTAATAATCATCCCTGCGGGCGGGGGTGGCTCGAGGTCGTGCTGCAGCAACAGCCTGGTCCCCGCCCTCCTCTAGTGCTGCGTCTTCCCCATCTTCCTCTCTTCTGACATGTCCGTGCCGTGCGCAGAAGGGCTGGGCTCCGGTTGAGGCGAGAGGCGAGGATGCGGGCAGCAGGTCCACCCACCCCGCGCGCCGCGCCTCACCAGGTACTCCTCACATTGTGTCTCCGCCGCTGCGCTGCTTGCCCGTCCGTTTTTTGGCATTGTCCCATTATGTGTCTTATGGAGAAACGTTCTCGTTATCCGCTTCGGGGGAAGATAACTACACCCGAGGAGGACCGTGCGGCCAGTAGCAAGAAAAACCAAACGGGGAAAAAATCACGATGAAGACTGCTACGTAGCCCTTTTATTGTCATTTTTTTTTATCAGTACACCTAGCTCTCTGTTTCGTGTTCTTTTTTTATTATCATCATTTTTCCTCTCGGGGGCAGTAACCGCCCACGCCTAGGCCAATGCCGCTGGCTCCGCGCGCCGCGCCGGGGGCTCGCCTCGCCCGCCCCGTGCCGTGGCGGCGGAGGCCGATAGGACCCCCCACCCCCTCCTCTCTCCCTTCCAAAATCAGATAACGCGCGCCACTCCCGTGCGAATATCGCGCTGTACACTGCCTCGAGTGTCCGTCCTGCTCGGACAGGTGGGCGGCGCGACAGGTGTGCGTCGGCGTGTGTCGCCAGGGAGGGGCACAACGCGACACCCAGGGAGGGGAAAGGCGCCCTGACCCCCTCTACTTGCTCGAACCCTTCCCATGCTGCTTGAGCGTTGACATTGCGAACTTTTGCAAGGTGTGCGACTGGTGTGGGGTGGAGTGACATGGGGCCGGGGAGGGAGTGGAGCAGCTGCAGCTGCGCGGCCGGGCGGCGGCGAGCTGACGGCCAGGTGCACCGGCCGCGCGGACGTCCCCGATAACGAGCCGTACGGAGCGTCCAGAATAATGAACCGATGGGGGGACGGGGAGGGTGGGGGGTAGTGATGAACATGCGGACGGGCGGACGGACGACAGGATTTCCGTTAGGGGTCACTGCTGGCGGGCGCAGTCGGACGGACACACGTCCGCTGCTCATGGCTGCAGCTTGTCGTTTGGCGCGGCGTACGCCGGCGGTGTTGCTGTTCTAACACACCGAAACGTTTAGAAACGGAACGGCGGCGCAATGTGCCGCGGCGGCGGGTGGGGTTCATGTATTTTTTTATGGTTTCCCTTCGGCGGACGCCCGCGCGGTGGAGGCCGCCGTGTCCGTCCCCGCGCGGCGAGTCGCAATACTGTGTAACGCACGTACGAACTGCTCGTTTTATCTGGGTGTCGTGCCTCCGCGCCCTGCCCCACCCCACCCCGCTCCGCACCGCCCAGGCCCCCAGCATGGCCATTTCCCGCCTCCGCCGTCGCTGCCCCGCACCGCGCACACACGGCGCCGCACAGCGCGTCCGTTGCCGACCGGAAGGCGTCCGGTCAGCCAACGCCCCGCCGCCGCCCGCCCGGTCCGGTCCGGTTCCGCCGCCGGGTGGCGAGGCGGAGCGCCGCCCCACGCCAGAGTACTCCCCCGCCGGAGTACACACGTACTACTACTCGTGCGCCCCGCCGAGCGCTGGCCAGCAGGCGCAGCCGGCCAACCCCTTTATATACACGTGGGTAGCACCGCAACACGGCGCCGCCACCACCACCACCCCCCGCCATCCGTTCGACAGTTATATTTTCGCGCCAACCAAGCAGCGCCGCCGTTGCGGAGAAAGAGGCGCACACAGCGAATAAAGTGGACAATGGCGATGGGATTCAAGTGCCGCCGCGCAGCGGGCCGCCCGACTTTATGACGTCCGACTTTACGCGCGCGGCTCACACGCGCCTTGGCTTTGCAGGCACCGCGCCGCGCCACGCCTCCGGGTGTCGGTCGGATCCGATGTCCACCTGACCTCGGGCCGATGGCGCGCGCGCCCCGACCACTCTGGCTATCTCGCCGTCGGCCGGCGCGCCGCGCGCTAGCCAAATAACTTCCTTCTTAGCGGCAGCAGAGCAGCAGGTGTGTGTTGTCGCGGGCCGATGAGTGCGAGACGGCCGACGTGTCGCCGCCGTGCGCGGGAGAGAGCGCCGTGAGGAGGGGCCCGGCTCCGCCATGTCCGAACTGGGAGGCGCCGCCGCTTCAGAGCGCGACGCGCCGACGCACACGGCTGGCAAAATAGACACTCTGCGGGGCGGGGCGGGCGTGACCAAAGCAGGCGCGCCCCCGCCCCGCCGAACTGTGATGACTATTAGCTTAAACACACCGGCCCGCCTGCTCTGCTTCGCAAAGGCAAACGCCCTGCCCCGACCGAGCAGCCGTTGGTGTTTATCGCGTTGCAGGCAGGACCGTGGACCGTTCGGGCACTACGTCGCGCGGTGGGCCTGGCTGGACGCCTGACGGCGACGTCGCCGGCGACGCGGCGCCGCCCGGCCTGTCGCGGCTTTTGGTCTTGTTGTGGCGATGAGATTTGGCGTCGACGGTGCGCCCGCGCCCACCCCGCCCCGCCCCGCACTGCCCTTATATGCAGAGCACTGCTCCGGCACGGTGGACGTGCCTCTCGCTGGGCAGCACGGCAGGCTGCTGCCGGGGTAGGGCAGGGCGGGCAGGGCGCCACGGCAACCTGTTGCTGCAGCCCAACAACAGTGGGGCGCGTGCCGCGGGCAGCCGTTGGTGCGAGAGAGAAAGAAACCCCTGACGTTGGGGCGCGGAAACAGACAGGGTGGGAGCAGCAGGGCGCAAGGTGCCGCGTCGTTGCAGCCCCCGTCGCGGGCGCAGGGCTAGGATGTCGTTGACACTGCGCAAGGGGGTGCGGCGGGGCGGGTCCAACGGACGCGCCGTGCCGGCTCGCCTGTCAGCCCAACTGCAACGGCCTGCATGCATGCATTATCCACACCCCGAAACGCTGATTTTCAGGATTGAATTTCATCCGGCGAATCGTCGGCGGTGGCCGCCGGCTCATATGCATTGCATTGCGGCTGCTGGCGTGGTGCTGGCCCAGCTTTGAGTCTAATACATCCTTCTTTGTTTCTCGGTAGTGGGGCGGGGTGGTAGCGGGATG